GGATGTGGAGAAAAAGGAACTCTCCTGCACTGCTGGTGGGAGTACAAAGTGGTCCAACCACTCTAGAGAGCTGTGTGGCGATTCCTCAGTCTGCTAAAGATGGAGCTTCCATATGATCCAGCAAATCCACTCCTAGGTATTTACCCAAAGGACACAGAAACATTAATTCCAAAGGGCACCTGCACCCCTATGTTTATAGCAGCACTATTTACAATAGGTAAGCTATGGAAACAACCCAAATGCCCCCAAATAGATGATGCATCAAGAAGATATACATATACACAATAGAATATTACTCAGCAATCAGAAAAGAGTTTTCATGCAATTTGTAGCAACATGGATGGCGCTGGAAGGGATCATGCTCAGTGAAATAAGCCAGAAAGAAAAAGAAAAATACCAGATGGTCTCACTCATAGCAGGAATTTAGAAAACCTAAATAAGGGACCAGGAAAAAGACTAATTACAAAATCAACAAGCAGCTATAAACCAGAGACACTCTGGGGAGGGTGGTAGGAAGAAAGGAGTAGGATCAAAACAAGGGTGGTAGGAATTGTATGAGGACTATAACTAAGATGAAAATGCATACATTGTGCAAAAATTAAAAATGATGTAAAAAATATATAAAATTAAAAAATTTTAAAAAGATGAAATAAACAGAAATAAAAAAAACTTTAGTTTAAAAAGTTAAACTCTTCCGTAGATAAGCAAGTAAAATTCATGTACTTTTTTTTTTTTTAAAGATTTATTTTTTATTTTTATTTATTTATTTAATTTATTTATACAAGCACTGGGTACAGTCAGAAGCGTGGGAGGGTGAGAGAATTCACCAGAGCCAGAGCGGAGAGCAGAGCAGGCAGAAGGACCGAAGCACACTGCTGAGGGGAGCAGCGGGCAGCAGGAGAGGTCTGCGCGCCATGTGGGACCCTCCTCCAGTGGCCGGGGAGCAGCTGGGGATCGAACCGGCGCCACAGAGGCTGCGGGCAGCTTCGCAACCCAGTGCTCAACCACTGCACCACCGGGAGGCCCAAAAATTCATGTACTTTTTACCTTTATACAAGTAAAAGATTTAAATGTTTCCAAAGCACTTACCAGTAAAAGTAATCAGGTAAAACTTTGTTTATAAGGCATGCCTATCATTTTTGAGATTCTGGGGTTTTTGGACACTTTCACTCAATAAACTTTTCAGTTGCATAAATGACAACACTTCAAGCTCTTGGAGTAGATTTTTTTTTTAAAGATTTATTTATGCATACAAGAACTGGGGTACAGGCCAGAGATGTTGGGGGGGGGGGGTGTGAGAGAGGATTAACCAGAGACAGAGTTGGGAGCAGAACAGGCGGATTGTCTGAAATACACTGCTGAGGGGAGCAGCCGGTGAGTCACAAGTCTGCTGCGCCACGTGGGTAGCTCCCTGGTCGGATATTGAACTCATGCTTCATAGGTTGCGTCTTAACTCATTGCGCCACCAGGGAGACCCTGGAGTAGATTCTTTAGCATGTTAAAAGCAAATCAATTTAGTATTATCTCAGTGTCTCCCGCCAGGGGAAATGTGTACATTTTCTGTCATCTGATATTTTACAGACTAAATTTAAACTGATATTTTAAAGACTAAATTTGCTCCAAGTCCTATCAAGACAAATTTATCTATTTCAATTACGAAAATGTTAGCCTTCAACTTTTTTAAAAAAAGGTTTATGCAAACAAGAACTGGGGTGTAGACCAGAGGTATGGGGGGGTGAGAAGATTTACCAGAGACAGAGTGGGGAGCAGAACAGGTAGATCTACTGAAATATAGGTCTGAGGGGAGCAGTGGGCGAGGTAGGTGAGGTCTGCTGTGCCATGTGGGTTAACTCCCTGGCCGGGATCAAACTCATGTTGCAGTGGCTGGTGATTGATTGATAGAGCTGTGTCTTTAACCCCTGTGCCACCAGGGAGGCCCCTCAGCCTTTAACTCTTTTTTTTTTTTTTAATTTCTTTTTTTTTTTAAATAATAAATTTTATTTTTATATTCCCCATACAATTGCAACCCCCCCATTTTGATCCCAATCCCTCCCCTTCCGCCTCCCATCCCCCAAAAAGTGTCTCTGGTTCATAGTTTTTTGTTGATTTTGATTTTTACTTTCTTATATTCATTTTCCTGGTCCCTTATTTAAGTTTTCTAGATTCCTGCTATGAGTGAGACCATCCGGTATTTTTCTTTTTCTTTCTGGCTTATTTCGCTGAGCATGATCCCTTCCAGCGCCATCCATGTTGCCTCAAATTGCATGTGTTTATCTTTTTTGAATGCTGAGTAATATTCCGTGGTGTATGTGTACATCTTCTTGATCCAGTCATCTATTTTTGGGCATTTGGGCTGTTTCCAAAGCTTAGCTATTGTAAACAGTGCTGCTATAAACATAGGGGTGCAGGTGCTCTTTGGAATTGATGTTTCTGTGTCCTTTGGGTAAATACCTAGGAGTGGAATTGCTGGATCATATGGAAGCTCTATGTTTAGTAGGTCCAGAAATCTCCACACAGCTCTCTATAGTGGTTGGACCAGTTTGCACTCCGACCAGCAGTGCAGGAGAGTTCCTTTTTCTCCACACCCTCGCCAACATTTGTTGTTGCTAGTTTTTTTAATATGTGCCATTCTCACTGGTGTGAGATGGTATCTCATGGTAGTTTTGATTTGCATTTTCCTGATTACAAGTGATGTTGAACATTTTTTCATATGCCTGTTGGCCATTTGCATTTCCTCTTCAGAGAAGTTTCTTTTTAGCTCTTCTGCCCACTTTTGGACTGGATTATTTTCTTTGTTGCTGTTGAGTCTCATCAGCTCTTTGCCGATTTTTGTGATCAGTCCTTTATCATTAGTGTTGTGTGCAAAAATGTTCTCCCAGTTGGTGGGGTTTCTCTTTGTTTTTGTTATTGTCTCTTTTGCTGTGCAGAAGCTCTTTAATTTGATGTAGTCCCAGCTGTTTATCTTTGCCTTCACTATCACTGCTTTGGGTGATGTGTCTGTAAAGATGTCTTTGATGTGCATATCATGTAGTGTTTCGTCTATATTTCCTTCTATGTATTTTATGGTTTCAGGTCTTATGTCTAGTTCTTTAATCCATTTTGAGTTGATTTTTGTGTATGGTGTGAGGTAGTGGTCAAGCTTCATTCTTTTGCATGTAGCGACCCAGTTTTCCCAGCACCATTTATTGAACAAACTTTCTTTGCTCCAATGCATAGTTTTTGCTCCTTTGTCAAAGATTAGTTGACCATAAATCTGTGGGTTTATTTCTGGATTTTCTATTTGATTCCATTGGTCTGTGTGTCTGTTCTTGTTCCAATACCATGCAGTTTTGATGATTATGGCTTTGTAGTAGAGTTTGAAGTTTGGGAGTGTGCTGCCTCCATTCCCTTTTTTTTTTCAGGAGAGCTTTGGCTATTAGGGGTTTTTTGTGATTCCATATGAATTTCATCAATAATTGTTCTATTTCTTTGAAGAATGACATTGAAATTTTGATTGGAATAGCATTGAATCTGTATATTGCTTTTGGTAGGATGGCCATTTTAATAATGTTTATTCTTCCAATCCATGAGCAGGGGATGTCTTTCCATTTCTTTGTGTCTTCTTCTATTTCTTTTAACAGTGTTTTATAGTTTTCTTTGTATAGGTCCTTTACCTCTTTTGTTAGATTTATTCCCAAATATTTGATTTTTTTTTGTTTCAATAATAAAAGGGATTTTTTAAATTTCTTCTTCTTCAGATTTATTGTTTGTGTATAGGAAGGCTACTGACTTTTGCGTGTTGATTTTGTATCCTGCCACTTTGCTGAACTGATTGATGAGTTGAATTAGTTTTTCTGTGGAGTTTTTGGGGTTCTCTATGTATATTATCATATCATCTGCAAATAGTGATAGTTTGACTTCTTTTCCTATTTGGATTCCTTATATGTCTTTCTCGTCTTATTGCTCTGGCTAGGACTTCCAGTATTATATTGAAAAGCAGTGGTGAGAGTGGACATCCTTGTCTTGTTCCAGATCTTAATGGAATTGCTTTCAGCTTTTCACCATTGAGAATGATACTGGCTGTTGGCTTGTCATATATGGCCTTTATGATGTTGAGGTATGTTCCTTGTATCCCAAGAATTTCAAGAGCTTTTATCATGAATGGGTGTTGCACTTTGTCGAAAGCTTTCTCAGCATCTATTGATATTATCATATGGTTTTTATATTTCTTTTTGTTGATGTGTAGCAAGCCTTTAACTCTTATCCTCCTATCATTTCTAGAACATGCCCTCTAAGGACTCTGGGAAGTTAGTGATGATGCCCCAGGCCTTTTAAATTCCTGTGGTGGAAATTTCAGAGGGAAATGGAAAGCTTGTAAGGACTCAGAACAATGGTGGCTTTTGATGATTGTTAGTCACACAGCACATACAAATCTTACTCTGTGCATCATCTGTTCTGGTCAAGATGGGGGCAGTTGTGGTATAACCAAGGCAGTAGAAACCAAACAATTGGGAAGTACAGGGAGGTCTTTCTACAGGCAGTTAAGGTTCTCGCTTCTTCCGGAGGTACTTAAATGAGGTTTTACTTCTGGGCATTTGTGTTTGAGAATCATTTCCCCACACATATTATTCCATCTTTTTTTTAGATTTACTTATTTATGAATACAAGAACTGGGGTACAGGCCAGAGGTGTGTGTGGAGGGGTGAGAGGATTCACCAGAGACAGAGTGGGGAGCAGAACAGACAGATCTACTAAAATACACTGATGAGGGGAACAGTGGGTGAGACAGGAGAGGTCTGCTGCGGCATGTGGGTTAGTTCCCTGGCTGGCCAGGGATCAAACTTGTGCTGCAGTGGCTGGTGATAGCTTGATAGCACTGTCTTTAACCCCTGCGCCACCAGGAAGGCCCTGGGGGGTGTTCCTTTTGCAGAGGTTCCATCTTCTCCTAAGCCCCAAGCACCCGTGGTCTCTTCTGCTCCAAGGGAATACTGTCCCTATACTGAATACTGTTGAAATACCTATTCTGGTTTTGTTTTCTTAACTGGACCCTAAACAATACATTCAGTATAATTTGGCTAATATAAACGGAGCAGGGAGTGGTAATCCTGAGACTCAGGCAAGTTCAAGGTCAGTCTAACATGCAGTGAAAAAAGAGACACTCAACCCTATTTTGGTCTTAAGGGATGGAGAATAATAATACAAAAATGAACTCAATTTATGATCATCAACTGAAAGCCTTTTGAATTGAACTAGTTTGGGAGATAGAGGCTAACAGCAGCAGCAAGAGCTAAAGAAGAGAAAAATAAAGTAACATGTAAAGTAAGAGTTCAGTTGAACTCAGGGCCATGTTGCTCCAAGTCCTAACAAGACAAGACAAATTATTCTGGGGGAAAAAAATCACGATCAAAATTTAGTCATGATTGTTTATTAAGTTCTTTACATAGAAGAGTAAACATACAATGGCAAACACCCTAGTCTTTTTACCACCTCAAAGTTTTTAGTGTTTGACACACTTTTATGCATATCAAATGTGTTGAACTATTACATGAATTTAAGGAAGTCAGGAAGTATTTGAATGATTTCTTTTAGGGTCAAGATATTGTGAGACACAGAGAACTGTGGACATAGCTCTGGCAAGGAGAGATGAGTATAAAGTCATCAGTAGACAGGAGATAATTACAATTAAGTGGAGCTACATCTGGGGATGTACATACCTCCTGGATAAAGTGGGGGTGGTAGAGGTGAAGACAGCAGGGGGTAGGAACTAGCAGGGCATTACCAAGTGCTCTCTCTATATTACTTCCCTTAACTCCTGATAGCAACTTTGTTGGCTACATTCACCTGAGGTAAACAAAAGTAGCAGAGACCCTCTGAAGGCAGGAAATTTTCCCCTTCTTTTCTGTACCACATGTCCTTGTTTTGATAGTCCAAAACTCATGCACAAATTACAATAGTTCAATTCCTTACCAATTAAATATTTGTGAACTAAGGAATCTAAAAGCCATTTTACAAGTTTTACTTCACAGACCCTTATTACAATAGGGGCCAAATTGGGATGTCTTTTGCAGTCTCTCTGTGCTATCAATTGAGTCCTTTCTTTCCCCCTGGAAGGTATACTGGACTCTACTCTTTTGCCTCATCAGCACTATCACTCTGATGACAACTCCCAGTTTTTCACAGATTTTTCAGTCTTTTAGAAAACAACTGCAGCTTCATGAGATGGCCAACAGCTCTACTGGTTTCTGTTTACCACCAGCAGCCCTGGTTCTTCTCAGGCTTTGAGAATAGGCATATACTACCAGTGAAAAAGTGACTGTAAACATCAGTTCCTCTCTCTTAAATCTCCCCTCTCTAGAACAGGGCCCAGCCTCTTTGTCTCGGAAGCTGCTTGGTGTTGTTAGGCAGACTACTTTATGTTTTCCATGTTCTCAGCAAGACCGTAGGTAGAAGATAGCATTAGAAGGTAATGCTACCTTCTACCTACTTCTAACTGGAAAGTTTGTTTTGCTTTTCAAATGATTTAAAAATAGTACATTGAAACTAAATAAATTCAGGTTCACACAAAACTCTATTTTGAAAAATATACATTATTTTTTCCACACTAAAAAAATATTCCTGAATTATGGTTCTTAAAACGTTAACACAAAAAATATTTAGAGCAGTACAACTGAGAAGCATAAGCTTTCCTTGCAATATTTTAAGAACATGTAAGTATTTTTTGACAAATGACATATTCAATGATTTAAAAAGTATAAAAATGAAGTTATTTCTCATTATTATTTCCCAGTCACCCAGTTTCTCTCCCAGGTGCCTAAATTTTTTGCTTTTCCTTCTAGAGACACTTTATGCAAACATATACATACATATTTAACTGTTGTGGGTAAGTGGTTACACGTTGTATATGCTAGTCTACATCTTATATGTTTTTATTTAACTCTGTATCAAGTAGTTCTTTTTATATCAGCATTGTTTGGGGCCATGAAGTATTTCATTGTACCTTCATAGATTTACAATCTATTGATGTGACATTAAAGTTGTTTCTAAAGCTTATTATTACAAACAATGCCATACAAAAAGGTTTTGAACATATCATTCTACACACGTGGAGAGAGCTTTATGAAATTCCTAGAGGTAGAACTGCCAAGTTTACCTTCATAAGGATTCTTAATTTTCTATTTATAACAAGCAACACATAAATTCCTTGCTTTTTCAAAATCAAAAATACATATCCATATGCAAAAACAAGAAAACAAAACCAAAAAAGCACCTTTATCTTTACTAAACTAAAAGTCAGGAAAAATATGCATGAGCGTATGTGAGCATTAGTACAAGAGACATAATGTATCTTTTCACATTATCTAAGAGTCACTTATATTTCCTTTCTTGGGAGCTGTTCCTTTGAAAAAAACTAAAAATTTTCTTTTAGGGCTGTTAGTCTTTCTTTTTTAATATATCAGCAGATACTTAATATAAAGGAAATTAGCTCTTTGCGATGGACTACAACTACTTCTTTTCCAGTTCGTTATTTACACCTTTTTATTTTTATGTACTTTATATTTTTTATTGGGGTAAAACATACATATATAATATTCCATTTTTATTTTTAGTTATTACTTTAATTTTCATATTTTTACCAGTTTTATTACTCCCTGAGAAATTAAATACTCTTATGTTCTTGGCACAAAAATCAGAGGAAATGCAGCACTGCATTCTAATGACAGACACAAAACATCAGTTTCTAATGAAAAGGCATACATAGTAGGACTATCAAAAACTAATAGAGAAATTAAATTTATCTTAAAACCAATGTTAGTCAGGGAGACTTCTTCACAGACAATTAAATGGGTAAATATATAAATTCTAAATACACCCCATTATTTTTCTGCTTGGTCATGGACTATTCTAGGAAGATTTAATTACGAAACTTAATTTGAGGAGTCCCAACAATGTCTACCCTAAAATGTAAAGTGAATTTGCTGTTAGAGAAATATTGGTTTGATAAGGCAGTTTTTAGTATATTTTAGACAAATTTGGTTAGTTTTTGTCTATACTTCATTTCAGAACAATCATTACTCAGAGGAAAATCACTTTTTTTTTTTGAAAGCACAAAGTAACTTTTTTGAGAAAGGGCAAACTAACTTTTAAATTCTACCCATAATTATACAATCTATATTTGAAGTAGATGTCATTGAACATGTAAATAATAACAGAATTTCAGTAACAGAATCTAGAGGAAAAATATTTTAATGCTGTATAAAAATATTGGCATACATAAGCTAGAAATCAGCTCTAAGACATTTTATTTTACTTACTAAAACAGATAACTAGACATCAACAGAAATGCTGTTAAATCTTGTTTGCTCACTGTTCATATTAGTGAAACAAAAGATTAATAGCCTCTAAGTTAAATTTCACAAAATGAAATCACTATCTTCTGATTAAAGTTTCAGGGGTAAGACAGGGCAAAACCCCAGTATCAGACTTTCCATTTCTGTCTATAAGCACATAAGTCAGAATCAATAAACACACGGTTATGTCTCAGGTTCTACAAGAAATGATATTTCTTGGAATAAATTTTCAAAATTTCAGGTAATTTTGTAACTAATTTTGATTTTGATCCCTGATACTATGGAGTGAAAAGATGTAAAACTCAAATATTTTCTGTGTCATATAGTAAAGGAAAGACAAGGGACAATGTTCTGTCAAATTATACTTCCGGCTCCATCTTGGACACAGTCTCACATCATCCATTCAGTTCCAATGATTCCAAGTTGTCAATCCATCCCAATTAGCATCATCCAACTAAGAAGTCCATTTCTATCAAGAGTCCAGTTTCCTTTCTATCATCTAATTTCTAATTTTCCAGAGAACTATAGTTTTCCTGTTTTGACATTCATTGATCCTAACCTGTTTTAGATCACATACTACAATATTTAAAATAATTAAAGCAGAAATCAAAATTAGATGACTTTAGTGTTATGGGTGATGTAATTTCAAATGTTCTACAAATACAGGGGCGAGCAGCAAGAAAACTTAGATCTTAAATCCTACATGGACTCCTTAGCTAGGTTAACTACTAGGTACAATCTTGCTTTGATTACTAATCAGGACAAAAAGGTGAACAAATGCTACAAACATGCATTTTTCAAAAAAAGAATAGTACCTTAAGATTTCTTGGCAGTTTAACAAGGCATTTTTATATATTTATATTTATATAAGGATTGTCAAACTCAGTATCATCAGTTATTAAGAATGGAAAGGGTCAGGACTCTTGCTTACCACTGAGTTTGGCAGAAACACAGTTGTCTATCTTTCCTTAGTAATCACACGATCCTTCAATTAAAGACAATGAATGTGCCTGCAGAAGAATTAATAAAACTTTTATAAAGATTTAAAGATTCTGTGACAGTTTCACAACCCAGCTTTACTAGATTATAAAACATTCCCTTCACTCATACATTACTTTTGGTATCTCTGAAACATTTGAAAAATACTTTTCTGTGACTTACTAGACTGTAGGGAATGAGTGTTTTTAGGTACATTACAATTATCTCTAGCAAAATTTGTCATCTCTCTCCCAGGAAGTGAACGTTTCAACTGGACCTTGAAAGAAGGTTGCCAATTTTCATTTGTTGAGCCTTTCCTAAGTTTAGTATGTTGTATATTAGTTTGTTTTTTTAAGTTCCTATCTTTGGAATTCTTCCTCTGTCCATTTAACAATTTGTCTGGAGGGGAGGTTGAGGCACGTAACTGATACTCATCTGGGGAGCCTTTTTGCCGATTTGGCTTTATTTGATCTTTATCCACTTCCTTCTGAAGTTGTAATGCTAATAACCTGTCCTGTTCTTCTTGTTTATGTCTCTCAAAAAGTAGATGTTCCAAATCTATCAGTTTTTGGGTAAAGTTAATTTCTGTTTCCTCTTGGTCTGAGGAAACTTTGGGGAATATTTTCTTTCTTTTTGCAGAAAAGCATGGATCTCTGACTGCTTCATATGAAGATTCTTGGTTTTTTCTTTTGGAAATGTCTTTACTGATCAATAGGCGAGACTCTTCATTTTCCATGTCAATTGTATTATTTTCAATTATTTGTTTCATATCTGATATATCACACCCACTTTTTGTTTTGCCACATGGCTTATCTGCAGTTTCTCTAGAGTAGGGAACTCTGGTTTTAGGTTCCTCATGATCTATGACAGGTAACTCTTCATCATGATTGTTTGGTGTCATTTTGACTTCTTCTTCATGGCACCATTCTGTACCATTGGCATATAACTGAGGCATAGGTGACTCTACTGAAGACGTTGCATCTTGTTCTTGAACTTCAAGACCTATTTGCGGAGAAAGTGTTGGCATATCTTCCACAATTTCTGTGTCTTGCCATGTAGGGATCTTTACATTGCTTCTGTCGGTTTCCTATAGAAAACAGAAAGAGTGAACCAAGTAAAAACATCAAGTCATAATATATACCTTATATTGATGCCATAGCTGAGTTGTTGTTATAAAGCAGTTATTATTTCTACTAATAAAATATAGTAATTCTTTTTTAAACGATTATTTTACTTATTTATGCATACAAGATCTGGGGTATAGGCCAGAGGGGTGGGGGCGATGAGAGGATTCACCAGAGAAGAGTGGGGAGCAGAACAGGCAGACTGACTGAAATATACTGCTGAGGGGAGCAGTAGGCAAGACAGGAGAGGTCTGCTGAGCCATGCGGGTCAAGCTCCCTGGCCAGGGATCAAAGTGGTGCTGCAGTGGCTGCTGATAGCTTCATAGTGCTGAGACTTAACCCCTTGCACCACCAGGGAAGCCCCAAGATATAATTCTCTACAGTATTTTCATTTTGTCTGCCAATTTAGATTAAGGCATTCTTTCCTTCACTGTGAAAACCTACATTCAAAATCCACAAACTAGATTCTACATACTGCTAATAGCAGGCACTAGGACCTGACTTCTCTCTTACTTTCTCTAAAAGACCCAAGAGAGTAAGCAATCTTGAGAAAGAACAACAAAGCTATAGGCACCATGTTCCTTAATTTCAAACTCCATTGCCATAGTAATCAAAACAGCATGTTAATAATCCTAATCACAAGAAAAAAAATTATACCTATATATGGTGACAGATGTTAACTATAGTAATCACTTCACAATACATACAAATCATGTTGTATGTCTGAAATTAATATGTCAATTACACTATAATACTAAGGGAAAAATTTATATTGCAGCATAATTATTTAAAATGTTAAAATAGATATTATATAATAATGTGTATCTATGAAAACATTAAATAATATGATCTAGTAGCAAGTCTAATAACTTGTAATATTGAAGTAGGTATAAATATAAAAGATATTTTAAGAGATCTTTAACAAATGCAATTTGATAAAAACCTATGCTTTCTATTGATAAAGCCAAGGTGTACTATTAACAATATTACAGTTTATTGTCTAATTTTTTAATAGAAACACTAAAATGACAGCAAGGTGAACATAAACTTTTTCTTTTAAGTTTATGCACTTCCTGGATTCTAATCCTAGACTTTAGGTTAAGAACTCTTGCTTAATGGGAGTGGGGGGGGTGGGGGGGTAACAAATATTGTTTAAAAATGAACAATGATGTAAAAAAAAAAAAAAAAAAAAAGAACTCTTGCTTTAGCCAGTATAAAATTCTTCTCACTTGTAGTTCTTAGGTTAAGTCAAGATTTAGCATTAGCGCTGACCGGGGGAAAGTACTTAAAGAAGTTGCAGTGCAAATTTTTGTTTCAGAATAAAAATTACTCCTTGTTGTTAGAATAACCTTAAATCTATTCTTTTACCTACTTTGCTTTATATTTACCATTCCTGAAAGCATTTCTTACAAAGCAATGTGGTTTGGATTGAACAAATTCTAGGTTTGCTAGTTTTGTTATGAGCATGAACACCAGAGCAGAAAAAACATTCCTGTGTTACACGGCCTCTGCCTAGTATCCCTCAATTCTAATATGAAGGAGACTACTTTCTAGACTTGAATTCTCCCTCTACCATCTGTACTTAGGAACTTGGGGGAAGCAACTTAGCTCTGTGTGCCACATGCACACAAGAAGGATGCCTACTTTGTAGATCTGGTAGTTGTGATGAAGACTGAAGAAGATAATACATAGTCTGGCAAATAGTAAATATCCACTAAACATTAGGTGCTATAAAACTACTTACCTGAATTGAAAATCTTTTAGGAACCTGTGAGTAAAAGGTCAACAAAACTTTTATGTAGGAAACTGCCCCTTTTGTCAGTTTACTTTTCCTGTCTCTATTTTCCTGGAAACCTGAAAAAGGTAGAATGTTACCCATGTCACTAGGTCATAGTGACACTTATTTTACTATAACTTAGGGTAAAAATGATCCTTACTGGGCCTCCCTGGTGGCGCAGCAGTTGAGTGCTGGGCTGCGGAGCTGCCCGCAGCCTCTGCAGCAGCGGTTTGATCCCCGGCCGCCAGCAAGGGTCCCACATGGCGCACAGACCTCTCCTGCCCTGCCTGCTGCTCCCCTCAGCAGTGTGCTTTGTCAGTCTGCCTGTTCTGCTCCTTGCCCTGGCTCTGGTGAATTCTCTTACCCTCCTGCGCTTCTGACTGTACCCAATGCTTGTATAAATAAATATTAAAAAAAAAAAAAAAATGATCCTTACTGGTGAACTACAACTGTACTGGGAAAGTATCAGTAACCTCTAAGTACTGAACAGGAGTCAAAGCTTGGGGCTTCTATGGCCTATCTTTTTTGACTAGATTTATTCCTTACCAGGACCCCTAGAAGCTACACCCATGGGTTGTTACAATAAATCATTAATTCTTGTTTTTTTTTTTTTTTTTTTTTTTTTTATTTTTTTATTTGTTTGTTTGTTTATTTATACATGCACTGGGTACAGTCAGAGGCGCGGGAGGGTGAGAGAATTCACCAGAGCCAGAGCAGGGAGCAGAGCAGACAGAAGGACTTAAGTACACTGCTGAGGGGAGCAGCGGGCGGCAGGAGAGGTCTGCGCGCCATATGGGACCCTCCTCCGGTGGCCGGGGAGCAGCTGGGATCGAACCGGCGCCGCAGAGGCTGCAGGCAGCCTCGCAACCCAGCGCTCAACCGCTGCGCCACCGGGGAGGCCCTAAATCATTAATTCTTAAGGTGCATGGGGCTTCTGGGTAATGCAGTTATCATACTCATCTCCATGGTCTCAATTCCAAGCTGTCACTCAGGAGCTCTGAGGTGAGGATACCAGCTGAATAAATATGCTTGATGCCCTACAAGCATCCTTTGTTTCCCATCCTGTAGTATTTTAAGGGAAGCTGGTACCAGAAGTGGTTTATTCAGTTTGAATTGATTATCTAGGTCAGGGGTCCACAAATTACAGCCCATGGACCACAATCAGCCTTGTTTTTATAGTTTATTAGAACAAAGAGATGTTCATTCATTTACATATTGTCAAGCAATGCTTTCACACAACAAAAGTATAATCAAATAGTTGCGACAGAGACCACAGAGAATGAAAAGTCGAAAATGTTTACTATCTGGTCCTTCAGAGAAAAAGCTGGATGCTTTCTAGCATAGAATGAATGTTCCATTGCTATAGTGCTATAGAAAAGTTAGGAAACTACAAGTATTAGCAACCAATAGCATTATTAAAAGTGCCAACTAAGAACATCTTTAGCATCACCATACCTTAGACATGGAGTTTTTGCTGATTTCTTGTACAACTTCAGGCTGTGACGCTGACCCAATTTGAGATTTAGGTGTCAAGTACCTTTAAAAAATTTTTTTACCAAAATTAGAATGCTTTGAAAGATAAATGGTATATACAATATGATAAAGCCAGATTTATTTTAAAGGGATTAGTTTGCTGCTTTGCCAATTTATCTAAAAGAATATATTGCATTTCCTTGTCTGTTTCTATGCATTTCACTGTATATACTTAAATGTATAATAATCCTGAGTTACATGCTTTAAGCAAATTAGATCAATAATTTCCCCCTTTTAATGGTTTCTACTTTCATAGTATCATTATTAACAATATTGGCATTGCCACATCTACCTTTTCTTTTAATAGTAACCACCTTATTTAAGCCTACCCCCAAATGTGTTTCTCCCCACTCCCAAAATCCAAAATTTCTATAAATTTTGGAAGGAGGCAAACTTGCACACATTTACTCAGCTGAACCAAACACATTTGCTTGCTTTTAAAGTCTAGATTGTGGTTCTTAAACTCTTCCAAATGTGAATTACTATGAGAAAGCTATCAACTCTACCTGCTGCTGCTAGAGAGGGCACTATGAAGAAACCAAATCACTTCACTGCAGACTACTTAGCTCATGTTTTCTGTATGATAGAGAAGAAATGTAATGCATAGATTGGGAAAAAGAGGGTGCAGGAATGACTTAGATGCCAAACTGTAAATTCTTTCAATGAGTGTGACCAGCTTTTCTCATTTCAATCTAAATCTAGAGAAAGGTCTCCAACTGGCTAATATTGAGGAAATGGGAATTGCATGGAAATCCTGAGTAATCATGACAGACTTCACATCTGTCAGCCAAGAATATAAACTCTAAGAAGCTCTCCTATTTTCACTTAACATCAATCTCAGACCATCTATAGGAGTTCATGCAGAGTTCATGGACTAAATTTTGATAATCAGTGGGTTTTATAAACAAAAAACACTGATATAAAGTAGGTGGTTAATAAATATTTGAAAGTCATCTTCACTTACTTCTGAATATCTCCAGTGTTTGTTTGCTTGTTCTTACTTTTCTTTTGTGAATTGGTTGCAACAGGATTACTTTTTCTGGAATTCAAGGGAGAAGCCAAGACACTTCCCTCACAGAAATTGTTCTGTAACAACAGAAAAGGCATAACAAACATTAAAAATAATTTTATTAAATAATAAGCTATCTGAAAAACTATAATTAGAATCCATAAAATTTTCATGAGTTATGCTCACATTTAAATTCTGTACATCCTTCAAATACCAACCGCACTAAAATTTGTATGAACAAGATTAAATCTCCATTCAAGTGGTCTAAATTGCATTTTACTTCACATTAAGCACAAAGCCATGATTATACTAATCTCATTAATTTATAATATCTGTAAATTTTTAAAAAGATTTATTTATTTATGCATACAAAAACTGGGGTGTAAGCTGGAGGTACGGGGTGGGGGGGGTAACAGGATTCACCAGGGAGAATGGGGAGCAGACAGGCAGATCTACTGAAATACACTGCTGAGGGGAACAGTGGGTGAGACCGGAGAGCTCTGTTGTGCCATGTGGGTTAGCACTCTGGCCAACCAGGAATCGAACTCATTTTGTAGTGGTTGGCAGTAGCTTGATAGCGCTGTCTTTAACACCCTGCGCCACTCCAATTTTTCCTGTAAGTTTTTCTGATGAATAATTTCAGACAATTATAACTATCTAAACCTGCAGGGAAATGTTCAAAGAACTGTGAACATATCTGGAATCAAAGTTAGCTTCATGTGAAAATAATCTGGAGACTTAAGTGCATATCAATAAAAATCATGAATACTTACATGCCAAAACAGCCTCAAATTTATTGCTATACTATTATAAAAGTTATTATCATTAGCGGCAAGGGACATTTGGCCTGCACTATCATACTTCCACAAGTAAAACAAAAACTATTACATAATATCAACAGATCTACTCTTACAATCCCATGTGAAAACAGGAAGGATTAGAACAGTAGGCTCTTGAAAGAATAAGAAACGTAAAGATGACCCCAGATTCTTCTCAATGATATATTTTCTTTTCCATCCCATTTGTTACTCTACTGGTTCAGTGTTTAATTTTCTGATTGTGCACCTTTCCAAAGCTCTCCTGATTAAATTTAAAAAAGAAAAGATACAAAAATTGCACAGAATTTAAAATTTGGGTATAATGTTATGAATGTTAGGCCTCTCAAAACTGGGGGGGAAAAATCCCAATTCTGTATTTTCATTTTGATACATATATTTTAAGGTATTTGTCTGAAAGCAAAGGAACTGGTTTTAGAGGCTCTGAAAATATACAGGCATTAGATTTCCCTAGATGCCTCTGGGCAAAGTATTCCCTAACTCGGAAACTCAGAGATTCTGATTCACTAGATTTAGATAAATCTATTTAACAGATCTTCAAATTTGCATTATAAAAGAGCTCCAGTTGATTCTGCCAGGTTCTTTCAAATCACTGGGTCCCACTGTAGCCTTTGATCTTAATTACAGCAAGACTACCAGTAGTAATACAAAAAAAAAGTATCTTAACTTACAACAAGTGAAAAAAGGCAAGGAAAAAAAATTGTGCATCCTTATATTTTTTAGATATAAGGAAAAAACGTTATTAGAGGGCCTCCCCGGTGGCGCAGCGGTTGAGCGCTGGGTTGCGAAGCTGCCCGCGGCCTCTGTGGCTCCGGTTTGATCCCCGGCTGCTCCCCCAGGCCACTGGAGGAGGGTCCCACATGGCGCGCAGACCTCTCCTGCCGCCCGCTGCTCCCCTCAGCAGTGTACTTCGGTCCTTCTGCCTGCTCTGCTCCCCGCTCTGGCTCTGGTGAATTCTCTCACCCTCCCGCGCTTCTGACTGTACCCAGTGCATGTATAAACAAAACAAACAAATAAATAAATAAAACATGCCTCTATTAAAAAAAAAAAAAACGTTATTAGAAATTACTAATAGTGGTAACCTTTGGGGAAAGAGATTGTGTAACAGAAACTTTCGTTTTTCACAGAACAGCTTTCCCACATAATTTAAATTTACTAAATTAATATAAAAAAGGCTTTTTTTAAAAGTATACTGGAATTGAAATAAATATGTAACAGTATACAAAAGATTTAAAAATAGGGCCTCCCCGGTGGCGCAGTGGTTGAGCGCTGGGCTGTGAAGCTGCCTGCAGCCTCTGCAGCGCAGGTCGATCCCCGGCTGCTCCCTGGCCACTGAAGGAGGGTCCCACATGGCGCACAGACCTCTCCTGCCGCCCGCTGCTCCCCTCAACAGTGTATCTCATCACTCTGCCTATTCTGTTCCCCGCTCTGGCTCTGGTGAATTCTCTCACCCTCCTGCGTTTCTGACTGTACCCAGTGCTTGTATAAATAAATAAATCTTAAAATAAATAAATAAATAATCTTTAAAAAAAAAAAGATTTAAAAATACACAAAAAAGTTTTGTTTGAAGCAGAGTAATTATGTCAGAAATAGCTTCTAGTTATGGTGATTGCTTCTTCACATCATTGAAACTACATAGTCAAAGCAATTTCAAAGATCTCTCCCAAAACTTACAATATTAATGCTTAGCTTTCTTGCCAGTTCTTCATCTCTTTTCAGTTGTTCTTCCATCTCTCTTCGCCTTTGTTCTGCCTGTCTTTTCTCCTCTTCTTCCTCCTCTGCTAATAATCTCTGTATGTATTCTTCACTGGCTTTGTTTTCTTCTTCTTCATTGGCTCTTCGCTCTGCCTCCACCTCAAAAATGATTAATAAAAACAATTCTCTGAATTTCTTAGTATATTTGTAATACTTCATAATAAGAATAGTAAAAGTGAAAAAAAGAACAATTGATGAGAACCGAAATATCCCAGATGAGGTACAAATCTGGAGAGACAAAATTCTGCACAATAGTTCAAGAAATCTCTTTCAGGAAACCTTTCTTAGTCAGCCCAATTAAAACTTAATTAAGTCCCAACCTCCCCTAGCTTCAGGTGACTAATTTAAGCCTAAATTCTTGAATTGGACCTTAGCAAAGAGGAAGGAAAGATTAAAATGAACTTAGATTAATCAGAGCCAACTCCTGAAGCTGTGGTCAATCAATCCTCAAAGTAGACAGGAGTGGAAAGGTGCTGAAGAAGCCATAACAATGGTCACTGTATGATATACACATGAGATAACATAAAAAAGCAATTTTATTTTCTTAGAATAGTAAATGGCCAATAGGAAACTCAAACTCAGATTCTCCATCACGCTTGTGGTCATTAAAACCTACATATTCTGTTTGACTGACTTTCAAAAGCTGACTTTTTCAAAAGGCCTACCTGGTGGTGGGGTTAAGTTCCAGCCCTATCAAGCTAACACCAGCCACTGCAACATGAGTTCGATCCTTGGCCAGGGAGCTAACCCATATGGCGCAGCAAACCTCTCCTGTCTCACCTGCTGCTCCCCTCAGCAGTGTATATCAGTTGATCCTCCTGTTCTGCTCCCCACTCTGTCTCTGGTGAATCCTCACAACCCAACCCCCCTGCACCTCTGGCCTACACCCAGGTTCTTGTATGCATAAATAAATAAATAAATAAATAATCTTTAAAAAAAATAAAATAAAATAAAACCTACATATTCTGAAAGAAATAATACAGGCAACCACTCCAGATATCCAAAAGATTTAACTACAGAGTAAGTTCTTGGTCCAATTTGAGCACAGGAGAAATAAGGGAAAGTGTTGAAAGGATTTCTGCGTTCTCTAGCCTTTAAAGGAAAGTCATTGGAAGAGAATGGAGTTTCTTCCTTCTCATGTTGCAATACATCTAAGGTTTGTATTCATCTTGCTATTTAGACTGAGGATAAAGCCAGCTGACAGAAGTCAGCAGAGAGGTGGAGCTAAAGCTCTGGATGAAACCAGAGCTCTGGATGAAACCAGCCTGAAGTCCCTACTTCTGGAATTCTTAGTCAGTTTGAGTTGTCATAACAAAAATTAACCATATTCTTATGTTTAAGATAATTTAAGTTTTGTTCTTTTTTAAATTTGTAGTCAAAAACATCCTGTTAGAAGCTATTCTCACTGCATGGTTATAAAGATTAAATCATTCATTTAAAATCCTTAAGGGTCTCCCTAGTGGTGGAAGGAGTTAAGCACAACATTCTGAAGCAATCCGCAGCCTCTGCAACATGAGTTCAATCCCCAGCCAGCCAGGGAGCTACCCACATGACGCAGCAGACCTCTCCTGTCTCACCCGCTGCTCCCCTTAGCAGTGTTTTTCAGTCAGTCTGCCTGTTCTGTTCCTCACTCTGTCTCTGGTGAATTCTCTCACTCCCTCAAGCCTCTGGCCTGTACCTCAGCTCTTGTATACAAATAAAAACATCTTTTTTAAAAAAAGAGATTTATTTATACAAGAACTGGGGTACAGTCAGAGGTGCAAGAGAGTGAGAGAATTCACCAGAGACAGAGAGGGGAGCAGAACAGGCAGACGGACCGAAGACACTGCTGAGGGGAGCAGCGGGCGATGCAGGAGAGGTCTGCCGTGCCATGTGGGTATCGAACCTGTGTGGCAGAGGCGGCAGACAGGTTCACAACGTGGCGCTCAACCCGCTGCGCCAGCAGGAGGTCCCAAATAAAAATATCTTTAAAAATATAAAATAAAATCCTTAAGGACATTAGACAACTATCAATTTTTTTTATTATTTATTATTTCTTCTAGACCTGCATGGTCCAATAGAGTAGCCACTAGCTACATGTGTCTACTGAGTACCTTAAATGTAAATAGTCCAAACTGATGTGTATTATAAATACAATACAGAAAATATTTTGAAATTAAGTAAAAAGATAAAAATTTTCCATCATTAACTTTTATCTATAACTTTATAATTAAAACCTGGTTATATAATGCAGTAACGTATATAGTTACCATAAAATTATACCTTTACATAACACTTTATATTCACTACATAGTATTTTAGATATATTGGATTAAACAAAATGTAACATTAAAATTAATTTCATGTGTTCTTAAAAAAAATCTTTTTAAAAATGTGGCTACTACAAACATTTTAATGATACATCGGTTGACACACTATTTCTATTGGATGACACTGCTCTACATACTAACCAGGAAAGAGGAGGGCAGGCACCAGGGCTTCACCTGTAGGCACTTTTACTATTTAAGTACTTTACAATGAGCCTTATATCCTCTCCTCATGTAAACTCATTGTATCCCTCCAAATTCTTATGTTAAAGCTTAACTCCTAATGTGGTATTATTTAGAGGTGGGGCCTTTGGGAGATAACTAGGTTATTGGCACCCTTTCAAAGGATTAGTACATTTAAAAGAAGAAACAAGAATGATGGTATGAATTCATCTATCTCTCCACACAATCCCAGATGAAGACATAGAGCTAAAGCAGTTGTCTACGAGCCAGGAAACTGGTGGTCCTCACGCAACACCAGATCTGCCAGCACCCTGATCTTGAAATCCCCAGCCTCCAGAACTACAAGAAATAAATGGTTGTTGTTTAAGTCACCCAATATACAGTATTGTCACAGCAAACCGAATGGACTAAAATACCTTAAGATATCTACCACCCTTCCCCCATTCTTTAAGTTTAGTTTCAGGAATATGAAGACAAATTTTTCATAATTAAATGCTTAGGGATGACTAGCACATAACACCAGTTATGTATAAAGTGAAGCTAGTTTGTAACTATTTTGAATACATGTAAATAATGGAGGGAGCCTTTGTAAAGTATATTACAAATGTTTATATTGCAATATACATTATTTATATAAGCATAAGATGTATGTAAAGTCGGAAACTGAAAACATAGCAGAGAATTTTTACAGAAAGAAATAACTGTTTTTGTATCTACCTTGCTTATCTCTTCTTCATATTCTCTTCTCAATTCCCCAGGTTTACTTAATAGATGAACTGGATGATAGTCATCAACTGTTTCAGATTAAGAAAGAAAAAAGTATTATAGGTAACATAGACTTTATGGCTAGTTTTGGTGTTCTATTAGAATTATACAAATATACAAAGCTAAAAAAATGGTAATTTTTAATAGTCACAACAACAATTTCTTTATGGAATTTCATTTTTTAAAGTCAAAGGTTTTCTGGTAGAAAATGACACATGAAAACATATACTTAACTCTTCTAGTACATTAATATGATAGTAATTTTTTTAAAAGATTTTATTTTTATTTACTTATGCATACAAGAACTGGGGTGTAGGCCAGAACTCGGGGGATGAGAAGGTTTACCAGAGACAGAGTGGGAAACAGCACAGGTACATCTACTGAAATACACTCCTGAGGGGAGCAGCTGTGTCATGTGGATTAGCTCCCTGGCGAGGGGCATGCCACAGTGGTTGGTGAGCCCCTGAGCCACCAGGGAGGCCCAAGTAAAGAAAATTAAAAAAAAAAAAAAAAAAATCCTGCAACATTGGTTTACACTGTTTAAGTTTCAGGTTTTTGTGTTTTTTTTTTCTTCAATTAAGGTAACATTAGTTTTGATTAGGTGGGAGTGAATGGCTACCAGAACTTTGGTGGAGGGCATGGTGTGTTATATACATTTGTTGAGGTGTGACACCGAAACTTACACAGTGTTGTAAACCTATGGTTCCACACACAACTCAAGAAAAATTAAAAAGGCAAATAACAGGGTCTCTCTGATGGCGCTAGGGGTTAAGCACAGCGCTGTGAAGCTATTTGCAGCCTCTGCATCATGAGTTTGATCCCCAGCAGACCTCTCCTGCCTCACCCGCTGCTCCCCTCAGCAGTGTATTTCAGTCAGTCTGCCTGTTCTGTTCCCCTCTGTCTCTGCACCCCTGCACCTCTGGCCTGTACCCCAGTTTTGTATGCATAAATAAATAAATCTTAAAAAAAAAAAAAGGCAAATAACTGATACTGAAGGCAAGACACCATTTATAGGAAACAAACAGAAATCAATATAAAAAAAGTATGCTATGGGGCCTCCCCAGTGGCACAGCGGCTGAGTGCTGGGTTGCGAAGCTGCCCGCAGCCTCCGCGCGCCGGTTCGATCCCCGGCTGCTCCCCGGCCACCGGAGGAGGGTCCTGTATGGCGCGCAGACCTCTCCTGCCACCCGCTGCTGCCCTCAGCAGTATACTTCAGTCCTTCTGCCTGCTCTGCTCGCTGCTCTGGCTCTGGTGAATTCTCTCACCCTGCCGCGCTTCTGACTGTACCCAGTGTTTATATGAATAAATAAATAAATCAATCTTTAAAAAAAAAAAAAGTATGCTATGTATTTTTTGAGGATACATGTCTTTTTTTTTTCCCTAAAGATTTATTTATTTATATAGGAACCAGAGTACAGGCCAGATGCGTGGGAGGGTGAGAGGCTTCACCAGAGACAGAGCAGGGAACAGAACAGGCAGACTGACTGACTGAAATACATTGCTGAGGGGAGCAGCGGGAGCGACAGGAGAGGTCTGCTGCACCATATGGGACCCTCGCCGGCCAGCCTGAACCGGCACTGCAGAGGCTGCGGACAGCTTCACAGAGCTATGCTCAATCGCCTGCACCACCAGGGGAGGCCCCATGTCTTTTTTTTTTTTTTTTAAAGATTTATTTATTTATGCACGCAAGAGCTGGGGTACAGGCCAGAGGTGTGCGGAGTGAGAGGATTCACCAGAGACAGAGCGGGAAAAGAACAGGCAGATTGACTAAAGTACACTGCTGAGGGGAGCAGCGGGCGAGACAGGAGAGGTCTGCTGCACCATGTGGGTAGCTCCCTGGCTGGCAATCAAATTCACGCTGCAGAGGCTGCGGACAGCCTTGTAGGCTGCGTCCCAACCCCTTGTACCACCAGGGATAAAAATAATAGAGTATTAAAATAAAAGTAGTCCTACTACAGCAAAGACACTATGGGTAGGATTAATCAATGAGCAAGAAGCTTGGTTTACTGGCTTCCTGGTAATGTGCACAAGTATACATATGCATGCTCCACAATTACTTTTTAAAGAACCTGAATTGTCTGGATAAAGCCAGTGTGATAATTTAAGAGGTAGTGAGTAACCCACAGCAAAGCTTTCTGAAACCTGGCAGTTAAGGGGACAAAGCAGGTTTCTTGATATTCATTGATACTCTCACCCTTAGTAGGTTTTAGGGGAAACAAAGTTAGATAAAGTCAATCAAAGTCAGATTCTCAGGTAGCACAGAAAAGGATTTAACTCTATCCACACTCTTAAGATACATGAATTTCCACTGTTAAGAAAGGTGAATATATCCAACAAAAATGAATATACGTGTTTACCATAATACAAGTAGAAAAATGATCACAGTACCAGTATCCATAATCAGTATTCGTAGACAAACAATGCCCAATACAAATGGACACAGAATTTCTCAAATGAAGAGATAGTTCTCAGTGTACTACGCTACAGCTCAGTAAGGAAAGTGAGAATCTATGGCATTTACGCCACTCTTTACCATCCATACAACATAATACTTACAGAAATGAAAATAAAGAAGCTGCAACCACAAATATCACAGATCATCACAAATATAATTGTGAGCTAACGAAGTCAGACACAAGAATACAAGATTCCATTTTTAAAAAGGATCAAAAACAAGCAAATGCTATAGACAATCAGGATAGTAGGAATGATGAGTAAATTAGATGGGGGCCACAATGAGGATTCAGAAGTTCTGTTAACATTCTGGGTCCTGATCAGAATGCTGGTTACACAGACATGTTCCACTTGAAAATCCACTGACCCTGGGCACTTTTTTGTGTTATGCTATATGCCAATGAAATCTGCACAAAAAATAAAGTAAGGAAGATTAATTTCCAGAAAAGCAGAGTAAAATCTTCAGTAGAGGAAGTCAGCAGATCGATTCAACAAAAAATCATCAATGTAGAAAGATAGAAAAAACTGGACATATAAAGTTCCTGGAAATGGTCCAAAAACCATACAGCAAATGAAGAAATAGTTCCCAGTCTACTCGATCTGTAAGAAAAGCAACAATCTATGGCACTTGAGCCATAACCTGTCCTTTGCCTCCCAGTTCAGTAAGAGGGACACTCCACTCCAAGTGTAGCCCACTTGGAGTGTAGGCCACTCTCACCACTTTCATTCAACATAAAAAAATTAGGCAAGAAAAATAAAAAAAAGGAATCCAAATAGGAAAGGAAAAGGTAAAACTGCCACTACTTGCAGATAATATACACAAAAAACCCTAAAGATGCACCAGAAAAACCCTATTAGAATAAATGATTTCAGTAAAGCTGTAGGAAACAAAACCAAAATATAAAAATCTGTTGCATTTTTATATACTACTGACAAACAATCAGAAAGAGAGATTAAGAAAACAATTCCATTTACAATTGCATAAAAAGAATAAAACAAGAATAAATTTAACCAAGGAGGTAAAACGATACAAAACTGTAAGAAATTGAATAAGGATACAAATAAATGGAAAGATACTCTATGCTCATTGATTGGAATTATTATTATTGTTAAAAAGCCCTTCCTATCTAAAGCAATCTACATATTCATTGCAATCCCTATCAAAATACTAAAACATAAAACAGATTGCCTAAGGCTGGGGTGCAAAACTGGGGTGTTTCTTTGGGAACTTATTATAAGTTCAAAAGCATTCACTATAAGAACTTAGAAGGTTGCCTGTATATACCATGCAAGACCCTGCTCAGAAAACACCTGAGAATACCCTAAACTTTCTCTTGGGCTGATCCCTGCACTCAGTGCAAGCCTGGCTAAATGTTAAAGGACAACTTCAGAACCTATTGAGTCAATCTGTCAAGACTAAGGTGCTTTTGTGTTTTGAATTTGTTACTGTTTTTCAGCTCCTGGTACAAGGAAATTTGTCAAAACACTAGCTGAATACAAGCTAAGGCACAGTGACTTCGGTGACCACACACAACTAAGAATAGTCTTTGCAAAAATACTTTGGGGAAGTCAGTAAACAAATAGATTATTACAGTCTTCAACAATCCAAAATTGAAAAAAGCTAAGCCACACAGAAAGGTAAGAATCTGACTTTCAGTTATCATATTATAATAATCAAATGTGCAGTTTTCTCAAAAAAAAAAAAAAAAAGAACACAAGGCATAACAAAAGCAGAAAGTATTGAAATATTGTTAATTCAAAGAAGTAAAATAAATTAACAGTAATGATACATGAATAAGCAGAGATATCAGACTTACCAGACAAAAACTTTAAAACAACTGTCATCAACAAACTGTACTGGGAAAACTGGATATCCACATGTAAAAGAATTAAGTGGAACCCTTATTTCATACCATATACAAAAATTAACTTAAAATAGGGGAAAAAAAAAAAAACAAAGAGACTGAAAACTATAAAGCTCCTAGAAGAAAACAGGGAAAATGCCCCCATGACATTGGCTATATAATACCAAAAGCATAGGAAACAAAATGCAAAAACAGGTTAAGTGGGATTACATCAAACTTAAAAACAACACATCACAGGATACAATGAGTGAAACAGCAACCTATAAAATGGAGAGAATAGTTCTGCAAACTATAACTGAGAAGGGGTTAATATTCAGTATAAAGAACACCAGTAACAACAAAAGTATTAAAAAATGAGCAAAGGTTGGGGGGGGGGAGTGAAGGATTTGAATAATTTTTTTCCCCAAAGACGACACATGACCAACAAGAACATGTGAAAATGCTCAACAATCAGGGAAATGCAAACCAAAGTCAAAATGAAGTAACATCTCATGCCCATTAGAATGGATCTATCAAAAAAAAAACCCCAGAAAGTACTAAGTACTGACAGGATTAAAAAAATAAAAGGAACTCATTGCTGGTAGGAATGGAAAATGGTACAACTAAGCAAAGAGCATGGTAGTTCCTCAAAACATAAACATAGAATTACCATAAGGTCCAGCAATTTCTTTTTGGGCATATGCCCAAAAGAATTGAAATCAGGAATCTGACTGCTAGCCAGTGTGGCTCTCTCAGCGGGAAAAGCGGTCATAGATCAACAAACTATGAGTACTGGGACTCTAGCTCAGGTGACAGGGACATGCTCCCCAATTCAATTAAGTGAGTCATCTCTATTGCTGGCATTCTGAAATCCATCACTGAGCGTGTGAAACAGATCTGCATGGTCATGTTGGAGACACCCTCGAAGGGCAAAGGGAGTGACCATCCCTACTGGTACATAACATCCTATCCATATGTCTCAACCTTTTCTTGCAGAGCCACCTCTAGAGTCCTATACCACTAAAAAACAGTATGCCATTCTACAGTTGGCAGACTTGACCAAGCTGGATCAGTTGGCAATGCAAGTCTCATTTTCCCATGACACATGGTTAACACCAGATTCCGTGCAGGTATGGATGCATCTCAGACTACTACTCATGAACTCACCATTCCACATGATTTGATTGGCTGCATTATTAAGCATCAAGGTGCCAAAATCAATGAGATCTGTCAGATGCGTGGGGCACAGATCAAAACTGGCAATCCAGTGGAAGGACCTACATTTAGGCAGGTTACCTCATAGGATCTGCTGCCAGCATTAGCCTGGCTCAATCTCTAACCAATGTCAGGTTCTCCTTGAAGATGGGTGGCATGAGAGCAGCTTAGACAGTACAGACTATCCACAAGCCCTTTCTGCTATTCACTACTCAAGATCCATCTGCGTAGTTTCTGAATAGTCAGCGGTTCCAGGTTTTAAAGTTTGTAAATTTTCAGTTTCCACACATTTTATCATCCTCATATTGTAATTAAAGCATTTTATTGCCTTTCTCTGTTCAGCTTTTTTTTGTGTGTGAAAGTTAACATTTATTTATCACTTGGAACGTGCAAGTATCGCCACCCAATAGTATAACTTATATCTATTATCTTTCTTAAGGCTCATAAAACTTCCCTAAAACTAGTTTATTATTCCAGTTTTTCTAATTAATATTTTATTTTATATAATTCTTACATCATTTTTCATTTTTGCACAATGTATGCATTTTCATTTTGGTTATATTCCCCATACAATTGCACCCCCCCCCCTTATTTTGACCCTAGTCCTTTCTCTCCCCCCCACCCCGTAAAGTGTCTCTGGTTTATAGTTGCTTGTTGATTTTGATTTTTACTTTGTATTAATTAGTCTTTTTCCTGGTCCCTTATTTAGGTTTTCTAAATTCCTGCTATGAGTGAAACCATCTGTTCAGCTATTAATGCTGATATTCCTATTTAGTTTTATAAGCTTTTTCCGGAGGTTGGGTTTTTTGTTTTGGTTCATGAAATTTTTTTTGTCATAGAAGTGTAAGAGTGTACTATCAATAATCTCTGTAATGTCAAGAGATCTTCAAAAAATTTTAAAAGATGGACTGCAGCCTTTTCTTTGTAAATAAATAAAATGGAAAGCAGATATATATACTCAAGCTGTATATATATCAATATTCACAGGATGTTGTCATTCATAGGAAATGAATATTCATTCATTTTATATTATTTACAACAAAAAGTGGAAGTAACCCCAAAGTGTTCATCAACAGACTGGATAAACAAAATGTGGTAAATACATACAATGGAATATTATTCAGTCATAAAAAAGGAACGAGTTCTGACAGCTCCTATAACATGGAGGAACCTTGAAGACATTCAGCTAAATGAAATAAGCCAGACAGAAAAAGATAAGGATGATATTTATATGAAGTACCTAAAGTAGTCAAGTTCATAGACACAGGAAACAGAATGGTTTTTAAGAATTGGAGGGAGAAGAGATTGTTACGGGGTTTCAGTTTGGGAAAAAGAAAATGTTCTGGAGGTAAATGGTGGTGAAAGCTGTGTACCAGGTGACTGTACCTAATGTCATTGAACTATACCCTTAAAAAATGGTTAAACCTGGGCCTCCCTGGTGGCGCAAGGGATTAAGTCTTAGCACTATGAAGCTATTGCAGCCACTGCAGCATCATGAGTTTGATTCCCCCATCACCCCCTCCCAGGGAGCTAATCCACATGGTGCAGGAGACCTCTTCTGTCTCACCCACTGCTCCCTTCAGCAGTGTATTTCAGTAGATGCGCCTGTTCTGCTCCCTATTCTGTCTCTGGTGAATTCTCTCACACACACAGACACATCCCCGCCTCCTGCACCTCTGGCCTACACACCCCAGCTCTTATATGCAAAAATAAATAAAATAAATCTTAAAAAGAAATGGTTAAAACTGTGAATTTTGTTTTGTATGTTATAACACACACACACACAATCACTAAGATATCCTTCACATCTTCTAGGAAAGTTTAAAAAAAGAGGAAAATAACAAATATTGGTGAGGGTGGGGAGAAACTGCAAACATTACAGATTGCTGGTGAGTATAAAATGGTGTAGTCCTATGTTAATGTTTGGCCGTTCCACAGGAAGCTACACAGAATTACCTTATGATCCAGTAATTCCACTCCTAGGTATAAACACAAAGAACTGAAAATGTATTCAAGCAAATACATGAACATGAATGTTCATATCAGCACTATTCAAATAGCCAAAAGGTGGAAACAACCTAAATGAAGAGATAAAATCTATCCATAAAATAGCATGTTATTCAGCCATAAAAAGGAATGAAGTGGTGATAAATGCTACAATGTACCTGCACATTTAAAGTATTTTCCTAAGTGAACAGGTCAGATACAAAAGATCAGATATTATATGAATACACTTATATGAAACAGTTAAGATTGTTTAAATCTCCTTAAAGTAGATTAGAAACTGGGGGGTGGAGGGTCAGGAGAATAGGGAATCATTGCTTAATGGTTAAAGAATTTGTCTAGGGTGATGAAAGTTTTGTAAACAGTGTGATGGTTGCACAACAGTTAATGCCACTGGGAACACTGTTAATGGAACTGTATGCTAGTATCTCAGTGAAGAAGTTTTAATAAAAGGCAACTATTGCTAAAAATGCAATTAAAATAGCAAATTTTATTATATTTACCAAAATAAAAATAGTTCAAAACAGAGTAATTGTACCAGAGCATAGTCACCATATTAAAAGCCTAGAGGAGAAACACTGCATGGGGTTATAACCACATGAGTGACTAAATCTGTTAAGAGTCAAGTATCAGGTTTGGGGCACACTGAATAGGTCTTAAGTGCACACTGTGGGAGGTTCTGAATAAAAATGATTGAACTTGGGTCTCCCTGGTGGCACAAGGGGTTAAGCACAGCACTGTGAAGCTATCCCAGCCTCTGCAGCACCAGTTCCATCCCCACCGGCCACAAGGTGCAGCAGACCTCTCCTTTCTTGCCCACTGCTCCCCTCAGCAGTGTATTTCAGTAGATCCACCTGTTCTGTTCCCCACTCTTGTCTCTGGTGAATCCTCTCACCCCCTCCCACCCCCACACCTCTGGCCTATACCCCAGTTCTTGAATGCATAAATAAATCTTTTTAAAAAATGATTGAACAAGAAGGAACTGGTAGTAGAAAGCTATTTTAGGCTCACTGCAGTTAGAGATTAATTAAATATATGAATTACAGGGGAGAGAGAAAGGAATTGAAAATAAAAGAAATATTAACATAGGAATCAGCACCTTCCTTACTTCTGCTATTGCTGCACAGACACTATTGCTCATCTGTGAATATTTATAGACGTTTATAATAACTGAAGGCTCTACATAGGCAATTCTTGGGGACTGGATCCCCGTTCTTCCCTCCCATCAATTTTTTTTAATATTTATTTATTAATACAAGCACTGGGTGCAGTCAGAAGCACAGGAGGGTGAGAGAATTCACCAGAGCCAGAGCAGGGAACAGAACAGGCAGACAGCCGAAATACACTGCTGAGGGGAGCAGCGGGGGCCGCAGGAGAGGTCTCCGTTACATGTGCGACCCTCGCTGGTGACTGGGGATTGAACCCGCGCTGCAGAGGCTGTGCCTCGCAGCCCAGCGCTCAACCGTTGCACCACCAGGGGAGGCCCCCTCCCATCAATTTTTATTTTTTTATTTAAGATTTATTTTTATTTATTTATTTGTTTATTTATTTATTTATACAAGCACTGGGTACAGTCAGAAGCGCGGGAGGGTGAGAGAATTCACCAGAGCCAGAGCGGGGAGCACAGCAAGCAGAAGGACCAAGCACACCTCTGAGGGGAGCAGCGGGCGGCAGGAGAGGTCTGCGCGCCATGCGGGACCCTCCTCCGGTGGCCGGGGATCGAACGGGCACTGCAGAGGCTGCGGGCAGCTTCGCAACCCAGCGCTCAACCGCTGCGCCACCGGGGAGGCCCCCATCAATTTTTAACCCAACAAACACCAACTGAACACAGCCTGGGTATTGTAACAATAAATCCTGTCATGGACCTTAATCGACATTTTGGAGCCCATAAAAGCCAAACTCCCGTGACTAATTTAGACAAATACTAGCCTGGGTTTTGTGTGTGTGTGTTTCAATTCTTTTTTAAAAATTAATGTGTTGACTGCACTAAAAATATAAAACTTATTGAGATAAAATAAAGATATAAGTAAATGAAAAAAAAATTAATGTGTTGAGTCACTTTTTAAAGGACTTTTTTCAGCCAATAAATACACTGGTTTTACTCACCGATTTCCCCTGACTCCTGTCCTGAGGCTCTCAGCTTGCATTCCTTTGGATAGTGTTTTTGAATTATCTCCCACAGTTCCATATTGACAAGAGAATTTCTTCGGGTATGGTATCGGGTCCAGGAAGAAACCCGGCGGCGACAGAAGGGGCAGCATAAACTCGCCTTTTCGACAGTTGATTGGAAGCATGGATTACAGAGCGTGTGGTTACATGGGAGTGTTATGGGCTCAATTAAGATTTCCACGCAAATCTGGCACTGGCATTCCGACAAGGAAGGGATGGCGTCTTTGGGGACTGCCATTTTAATATGCTAACAAGGCATATTTCAACATCAACACCTGAAAAGAGAAAAAAATGGTGGTTTTCGGCCTAAGTACGGTAAGAACAAACGAACAGTTTTGTGTCTAAATCTTATGCCCTGGAGTGTCAGCATTCAGAGATTCGGAGCATGACACAAGTCTTCACCAGAACAGGCGCTCCGCGGGCCAGGTAGACGGTGCTGCCCTGCAAAGTGGGTATTTATTTGCCCAAGTTTAAGGACCCACGTTGGGTAAGAAAACAAATCAAAGTTTCTCTTTGGAGACCACGGCTGCTCCAAAGCACCAACAGAGCAGCATTGCGGGCGGGGAACCCCGGCCCTCTGGCGCGGCCAGACTTTGCGCCCAACCCCCTCACCCCCTTACCAGGTGCGGAGGCTCCCTTAGCTCCCGGCATCCGACCCGAGGCTGCCGGGGGCGACGTCTCGGGCCACAGCTCCGGGAAGAACGCTGCTTCCGCCAGGACGCAGGCCTCCGCCGGGGCAGGACTTCCGTTTTCCGTTGTTTGGGGGCAGCGCGCGAACCCCAGCGTTCCAGCTTTGGGGCGCCAGCGCGTTTTCTCTCCGCTCGGAGACCGCCCCTCACCGCTCATCCGTCTGCTCTCAAACCCCGTCTCTGCCCTCCCGACAGGTCTGTGGCGTCACAAGAGCCCGCCAAAAGGGCCCCACCCCCCAGGAGGCCCGCCCACGGCGGGACGTCAGACGTCCGGCGGGACGGAACGTCAGGCGGCGGCGCGCGCCTCCGCCCCGCCCCGCGGCCCGCCCCGCAGCGCCGCGCCGGCCTCGCGGGCTGCTGTCCCGCCTGCTTCTGCTGCCTGGGCGGCGCCGCCGAGACTGACCGCTTCCCGGGGCTCTGGAGACGCGGGCGTGTTGTGCGCTCCATCTCTGAGAAGAAAAAGAGACACCTCAAAACAAATAGAGACCTGGGCCTCCCTGGTGGCTCAAGGGGTTCAGCACCGCACTATGAAGCAACCCGCAGCCTCTGCAGCATGAGTTTGACCCCCAGGCAGGGAGCAACCCACATGGCGCGGCAGACCCCTCCTGACTTGCCTGCTGCTCCCCTCAGCAGTGTATTTCGGTCAATCGACCTGTTCTGCTCCCCACTCTGTCTCTGGTGAATCCTCTCACACACACCCCTCATCTGGCCTGTACCCCAGCTCTTGTATGCATAAACAAATAAATCTTAAATAAAAAAAAAACAAAAAACAAATACTCTTATTTTCAGTACTGTTTTGTTTTTGTTAATTTGTACCTAAACGTAGATTTCTATCCAAAACTCTTTGAAAAGCATCTTCGATGTTGATCTCCCCAGAAAGGCTATGGTAGGTAGAGAATCCGCACACTTGATGCTGCCGGGTAAGCACTGAAGCTTCTGCCTTCTGTGATCCACCTCCCACAACTGCCACTAGAGATGGGTTTTAGGATTGCTTGGAAAATAAACTTCAGGCCCGCCTCTATCCTGGCGCTTGGGCTTCACAAGCATCATTTGTAATGCGCTACTTTATTATTAAATTTCAACCTTGAACAATCAAAATTACAAAGGAGGAAAGAGTAAATAGTTTAACTTTTCTTGAGTTTTGTAGTAAGTTTTTCCAGTTTGGTATTGTTATAAAAGAAAAATCAGGGCCAACATTGAGACAGTTATGCCGTTTCCCCAAGACTTACTAAACCTAATCTTACTGCAATTTCAGAGCCTATGTCAAAAGTGGAATTTTAAACCAATCAGTCTGTAATTTCCTGCCCCTCTCTCCCTTTGCCTTCATCTTTAGGGTTAGGGAAGTTCCCTGAAATAATCTCTTTTGCTAATACCGTGACCCACACTCTTTCTGATTATAAAAATCTTCCATTTTGCTCAGCTACTCCTGGCACCTTTCTACTAACCAAGCAAAAATGCCTGGGGTATAAGTAGAGCCTCAGCACCCTCTCTTTATTACACCGCAGACCTCTACTGTCTTGCTTACTGCTTTTTTTAGCAGTGTATTTCAATAAATGTATCCACTCTATGCTCTACTCTCTCTCTGGTGAGTTCTTTCATCGCCCCTTGGCCCATACCTGATTCTTCCTCCATGATCTTTACCTCAGTGGGTAATAATTCAATGTAATAAAAAGGAGAGGAGCCACTAAATTTCATGGGGACAGATGTAGAATAGTGACTGCCAGAAGTGAGAGAGTTGTTGTTTAACAGGTATAAAATTTTACAAGTTCTGAAGATGGTGATGTTTGTACATCGTTAATATATTTGATACCATTGAACTATACACTTAAAAATGCTTAAGATGTGTATTTTACTATAATGAAAAAAAAAGAAAGAACCAGCCCTGAGTTGTTTTGAGGAAATGTTGAGTAGGTGTAGGGTAAGGTAAAAAAGTATCAGGCTTTTCTGCCCTCCTGCCATTAGGATTGATGATGGAGACTTGCGGTTCTGAATGCATGCGTAATGGTGGGCACCTGGTGTAGGGTGTGGGCATACGTAAGTGGGTACACCTGGGCTGAGAGATTGGGTTTATAAAGGCGGAGTCACAGGGATGCCAGCAGAGCAGAATGGAACAGCAGAGCAAGAGAGAATGCCAGAGAGCCCTGGAAGAGAGAAGACTGGCAGGCCTCCCCACCCCCACCCTTGCCTGCTGTGTAGGAAGTAAATACCAATAAAAACCTGCAAAAGCCACCGAGGGCTCCAGGACTCCTCCTTTAAGCTGTCTGCTCGGGTCATAGAGATCCTGTCCTGTGCTCCTGTCCCAGTCCTGCCACTACAGTAGCTATGGAGGAAGTGAGGAGGGATCACTGTGCATGAAAATTATATTTAAAGTTTTGGGGTTTATGGGCCTCCCTGGTGGTGCAGGAGTTGAAGACAGCACTATCAAGTTATCTACCGGCCAGCCAGGGAGCGCCCACATTGTGCAGCAGACATCTCCTGCCTCATCCTCTGCTCCCCTCAGCAGTGTATTTCAGTTGGTCTGCCTGTTCTGCTCCCCACTCTGTCTCTGGTGAATCCTCTCACCACTACCACCACCCCACACCTCTGGCTTACACCCCAGTTCTTGTATGCATAAATAAATCTTTAAAGAAAATAGCGTTTTGGGATTTACTGAAGTTACTCAGTTTGGGGAGTTGAGTTTCCAGATGCAGTTAAAACAAGGAGATATGACTCCTTGGTAGATAGTTTTGAGGGTTTTTGCTTTGTTTTATAGTGGGATTGTAACAGGGTGGTCCCCAGGAAAGGGGGAGGTTCCCTGCCCCACCCAAGGGAGGGTGGAGCTGAGCAGGAAGAGGAGAAGCTGCAGAAGAGACTGAGGAAGGAAGGAAGCAGGATGGAGCCAGGAGACCTGGAGGAGGCGCATGGAGCCTAGAGACACGTGAAGAAACTGCACTTGTCTTTTGGTCGTGGACTGGGTGACACAGATGTGGGTGGGACCCATGGGGAGGTGACAATGGCAGCTTTTATCCTGATGTTGATTTTGCTCTTTTCCTTCCGGGCTTGTCTGGTTGTTTCTGACCCTTTCTTGTGGGTCCCCACTGGAAGATGCTTTAGACTTGTGGCAGGCTTTGGGGCCTTGTTCTGGACCGATCCCATATGGATGGAGTTTTACCCACGAGGGGACGGGTAACTTTGGGTGCTTCATTTAGAAACTAGATTCTTTGCCTTTCCTGTATTGTTTCCTAATTAAAGTTCCTTCCCATTAAAGTCTATGTTTTGTGTTGATGTGGCGGATGGCAGAACCCATTTAGAATAGGCAGGTTTGCGGGGCTTGGGCTGCCCCTCTCCCTGTCCTGTAACAGATTCAAAAAACCTTTAGTTGTTATTCAGTTGTCCATAGTATTGTTGACCCAAGAGAAATTAAATAGATTGTAATACAAAAGGGCCATTATTTGATAACAAGACTCATGATCCAGGGTCACTACCAAGGGACAGTTCTAAGGCAGGTACAATCATGGGAGATTTTCAAAGGATCAGGCAGGGAAGTGGTCTGAGATTCACTTGCTGTGAAACATTTTGGATTTGTTCCTAAGTCCAGCTGTCTGTCCATGATTGGTGGACAAAAGTCTCTAGACCTAGGGCTACATTTTGGGAGTTTATTGTTATCAGCATGTTACAGATCCTGGTCCAAAAGAGTGGGTCCTTCACCCTCTAGGTAAAGAATTCACCAGAGAGCAGTAGGTGTAACTGAACCAGGCAAGACTTCATTAGAGATTCATGAATGAGGGAACTGAACTGAACTTCCTCCCCACCTCCATTCCAAAGAGGTCCCAGGATTACAACTCCCATCATGCTATGGATCTGCCATATCCCTTGGAAGGGGGTTGCTGGGAATGAAGGGTGGAATTAAGCATCTATGCTTACTAGAAAAGAGAGGACCTGTAGGCTGAAGGGAACTAGGTTTTACCAGCTTTTATCATGCCCCGGGGGTCCCATCGAGCATTACCTGTAGGATGTATTAACCAACTAATTTCTATTTCTCTCTCTCACACAGTTCCCCCTCTTTTCATTTCCCTTGATAAAACTTTTATTATGAAAACTTTTTTAAAAAAGAAAACTTTTTTCTATGTGTGCCTGCCCTTCGGTCTGGTTCTGAGTTTTTTTAAGTGCACGGATGAAGAGTCACACGAAAGCCATCCCATTTCCTTCTGGGGTTGCCCTATAACAGAACCAGTGCTGGAAAGGAGAACTAGCCTGGTTCCTCGGTGTTAGGAGGAGATATTTATTTAATTAAATTTTTTTTTAAGATTTATTTTTGCGTAAAAGAACTGGGGTGTAGGCCAGAGGTGTGTGGGAGGGGGTGTTGAGAGAATTCACCAGAGGCAGAGTGGGGAGCAAAACAGGTGGATCTACTGAAATACACTGCTGAGTGGAGCGGTGGGCAAGATAAGAGAGGTCTGCTGCGCCATGTGGGTCAGCTCCCTGGCTGGAGATCAAACTCTGGCCTTGGCAGTGATAGTGCTGAGATTAACCTCTAGGTCACCAGGGAGGCCTCAGGAGGAGATATTTAAAGGGCAGGTCCACAAAGCAGGGTGAGGAGTGCAGTGGCATAGCTTGTTCTGGACTGGGCTATACCCAGGCATACACAGATGGGTTAGGTTCCAACTGCAAGTGTGGCTTTCTAACTTCTCTCTCCAGGAAATTGTGAGACAATCCTTAGTCAAGTCTAATGCTTTTTGTCTAACATGGTGCCACATGGTCAGCATGGTAGGCCAAATTGTTTGGACAGGACTTGCCAGTCCATGATCAGTCTACCCATTCAAACAATACTTGGGGCAACTCATCCTACTGGCTTCCAATTTCTTTCACCTAAGCCCTCAAGCAGATGATTTCCTGTTTTGTTTTGTTTTGTTTTGTTTCCATCATCAAATTGCTGTGTCAGGCTGTTTAACTTTCATCTAGAAGTTTTAACCTGGTCCTTAGAAACAGAGTGTTTGACTTAAAACAGGTTCCACAGTATCAGTTCCTTAGCCAGGAATTGCAGGGCCCCTAATATGGTCCTAATCCTTTTCCCTTTTAAACATCCAACTGTGATCTACTTGCTATCATCCGAACCATGTGTTTTTAGGCCAACACGTTCTCAACTCATCCTAAATGGTTCTTTGTGTTTTTTACCTACTTCAATGATCAATTCAGTGGACTTTCTTTAGGCAGTATGTGTGCATCACACAGTGGTACCCCTTCCTCTCTG